AACGTTGCCTTCCTTTAAGGGATTAGGGCTTTGAATATTTAGAGACCGGGCAGGTATTGGGGTAAGAGAAGGATGGGGCTTCCGGTAACCTCATTCACATGGCGAAACACAAAGCTGTGGTTGTTTCACGTCGGTTTTGCGAGTGATACCACGTCCACGGCATTACTCCGGTCGAGCCGACCCATTCGTGGCAAAGCATGGCTCTGTCACATTAATGCAAAGCACGTTAAAGTTTTTTTATGGTTCTGGAGTTTTGCAATTCTTATTTGAAGCCAATTAGGTACTATATTTTTATTATCATTTATGAGGCATCTAAAAACCTATATTTGTACTAGTACAAGTCGTATAGACGTATTTGCTACTAGACTATATTACTATGGTCATCAATTAAATCATCAATGGCCCACATTTATGGTCAACGTCTATGATTGAGAAGACAAGACCTATAAACATAGTTTTTTTTATTAATAGCTTGAAGTGCAAAAATATTTTTATTATCTATGGTCATAGTCATATTATTCATGTACTTAACTCTATTTATATTATTATATACTCTATATTCTATAATGTTATGGCGGCCTGGAGGTTAAGGTTTTACGCTTCCAAACCCTGCAAGACAAGTATCAATGTGACTTTTTCCGAGTTAAGTACATGTACTTTCTACGACTATCTAAACACCACTGACATTCGGTGAAGAAAAACATCGTAAGGAAACGTGGATTTATAATTTCTTATTAATAGTTTGAAATCGCCAAGCCACCTTGAGCAATCATATCTTACCTATCCGTGTGAGAAGAGGTCTTTGCTCAGCAGTGGGCACTTACCTATCGGCTGATGGTGTGATGTAGGTATAACTCCATAGAATATGTCATCATATTAACCTACAAAAGACCTCCAACATACTGTAACTTCCTAAGTACTAAATAAATCTAAACAAATGAATATAATTTTCCTTAAATACACGACTAGGTACATGATTCAGAACAGTAATAACGAGAACACTTAAAATTGAATTATTTTTTTTTTTCCATAAATTCCTGTAATTCTACAACCAAGGTGTTTACTTATTCACATTGGCTTATTAGAATAATGATCGTACTCAACTTTGACCTACTTTTAAGTAACTAATTGTTAATTATAAGTCTACATTCATGTGTGAGAATTGTAATAAATGCGTTTATGTATGAGGTGAGCTTTCAACTGGAGCTGTGTCAACTTTATTACATACTTGATAAAGTTATATAGATAGTAAGGTGCACAATATTTCATACGACATTCACCCTTATCACAAGGAGGCTAAGGTACTCTTAATCCTGAACTGTTATCATTAAAGTGGTTGAATATACCCTGTTAGGTGTACTGCTGTATATTTTTTGCCTTTTGTGTTTGTTGACAGTTGAGTCATTATATTTTTTAGTAAGAGATAAGCTTTGTTTATGTGCCTTCATTTTGTTACCTTTTTTCCTTTTACTCGAGGTAAAAATACAGGTTTTAGAACAGTTATACGTACTGTTAATATTAATCTCAGGTTAAACTGAGGTGTGATACACATTCTATACATGCTTACCTACATCATTTTGCATAATAGCCGAGTTTGTGGCAAGCGCAATGTATATATTATTTTAAGGGACTGCTAAGATAGCTTATACACTTACTTATTGCATTTCTGAAGAAGCAGCGCTCCAGAGGTCTAATCGTACACTCTTAGAAACTACTTCTACCTACATCACAACCACAAAAAAAAACTGCAACAATAAACAAAATTAGTGTCAATTCAAGCTAGATTTAAGTCATACTTTTAAGCAGAACATTGTCCTGTAAAGGCAAACGTTCTCAATTTGGCAATGCCGATTCGTAAATAAGTACTCCATCTACGTCGTGTATCATGTATAACTGTCAACGTGAATACAAAATCATAATAATATGTGATCATGATTCGCAGCCCGCTGTCACGTCACAGATAATCGAATAATTCAGGGAACTGTCATGGCTGCCGTATTTGGCGGGAAAGCAATCCGCTTAAGCCCAAATGGGCATGCGTTGGGATACCACTCAGTTCTTTATTGCACGACACAGTGTTGCATAAGTGCTGCATTTTTACCTAACGCAACAAGGTAGGTACGTATAAATTACTAAGTACTAGATAAGTAACGGTGAAAACTTTTAAATATTTAGTTGTTTTTAAAACTCTATACCTACCTACTCAAAGGAAAACTTTATCTTATTCCTCTAGCAATTATTATTGTTCTTTTAAGTAGTCATCAGAGTTGCAGCAACAAAAAATATTGAATGGATACGTAGGAGGTGTAAGATACAAGAAAGTAAGTTAAGCACGTTATTGCATAATTCCCTCAATATTAGGTACCTACTCAGTACCTACCTACTTAGAATTTATTTTGTCTTGTGACATTGATTGTACTGCAGCGCCTGACTAACACTAAAAGGTTCGAGTCAATCTATTGAATGTACTTTCGAATCGTAAATTATTTATATGGGAGAGGTTACACGCAAAATTAACGACGGCTAGTTAAGTAGGAAGCAATATTCATCTTGATACCGACATCTAGCCCCGAAACAATGAGAGAGATCGACGCGTGGGCATTGGGCGGCAACTTCACTTGTAAGGCGCAGTTATAGTGAATATACCTAATATAATGATTACCTAGTATTTATAATAAGTACTTATTATATTTATTTAAGAAAGTCTTGATACTTATTTAAAAACCTACTATTACAAAACAATTTTATCCTTATGAGTTCGTCCTTATAAGGACTCAGCTTTGTACTAGTCTGTGAAACTGAAAGTATCTTGTTTTAGCATATTATTTAATTGTCAATAATAAATTCAATCCAAACTAATATTACTTATAAATGCGAAAGTAACTCTGTCTGTCTTTTCTTCACGCCTAAACCGATTTCTGTGTTTGCTATCGACATAGTTTGGAACTCGAGAAAGGACATAGGATAGTTTTTAAACCAAAAATCTGCAATAAGTCACTATTCCACGCGAACGGAGTCGCGGGCAAAAGCTGGTAACTCAATAAAACTACATGGCACAATAATCATTAATAATATTAACGATTAGTTACTGTCGTGTGGTTTCACCCGCTGCTCGGCTCCTATTGTTCGTAGGGTGACGTTTCACAGCCAATAGCACTAAGGAAAATTGTAACTATCTATCAGTGAAAGAATTTGGAAATCAGGCCAGCGATTCTCGACGACGATGACGATGACGATCTCTTTATATTATTAATATAGATTGATATAATGATTAGTTTGTGAATATTGTATTATTATAAAGTCAGTAGTAAGTCATTGGGGAAGAGTGAAGACATTTTGTTAAGTGAAGGTTTTGCATATTGTGCCTGATATGGTTTTGACTATAAGTAAAGGTAAACTTTATACCGGTCATACACAACCACTTTTAACTATGACGTATGGTAGGTACTCAAAAATCTCTAACAAGGCCGATGTCCAGCCAAGGTTCCGTATAATAGTGTACCACAGCCCCAAGCTGGGGTAGGAGAAGAACGGGTTGGTTTTTTGTCAGTAAGAGTCTGACACTCCCTCTCGCCTGACAGAGGGCGGGAGAAGACAATAATTGATGATAGGTATTAAACCTTCAAAAAAGGGATATAAGTACTGATTTCTGAAAAACTTCGACAGTCATAGATCGTCATGTGTGAAAATCACGATTACAACAACAAGTAAAGGGTATTAGGGTCGTTTCCTAGGTCAGAAAATGTATCTAACTTTTTGGCTTTCTGACTTTCGAAGCTAACTGATCCAATATTAATATTAATCATAAAATCTTTTTTAAACCTATCTAAATTCTCTTTGTTAATAATTTATAAATATGAAAGTAAGTAGATACTTAATTAAAATGTAAATCCTTTGTAGGTACCTAAATAAGTACAAATACATTTAAATGAAAGTAATTGAACTTGACCGCTTATTCCATCTTGTTCCGATTTTACTCGAATGTTAGTGTTTTTAATTTTAGAACGTGATTCAGACTGGGTTTTTTCTTTAAGTTGGCAGCATTTTCGCAAAGCAAAATAAACAACTTATTACCAACACAAACATTTAATTACTTACCTTTTAAGTTTTATTAGACTCACCTGTAAATATCTTCAGGCTGGTGAAGATGTTGATGATGCTTATTTTTATAATTCGAGTAAGGATGGGCCATCACGAGATTCTAAGGTATGCCTAATTGTACGAGATTTAAGGCCTAAAAACGCTAAATTATTTTAAATTCAGAGATTTTAAAGTCTAAACACTACATTGCGTTTAGTACTAATTTACACTTATGTAGGTACCCATTTTTAAATCAAGTTCTAGAAAAAGCGACTGTTATTTATGCCGTAAGAGAAAAATCTTAGAACGTTAATAGGTACAACATTTTGTTAATCTTTTGCAGATTATTTAATGAATTCTCATGTGACATAGACTTTAGAGGCGCGTTAAGACGTTTCTTTTAACGTCAATAAATCGGCCAAGCCCACGCTTCCGTAGCCTATTATTTAGGTACGTAATCAAATAATCATTCCGCTTCGCTTGGCAACTTGGACTCGAGAACGAACGAAACGGCAATGAAAAAAAAAACAATTGTTTTTAAATTCACTCTCTGCCTCTTTGGTTTCCAATGCATGTGGGTGGACATGTTAAACTTTTTACGATGTAAATGGCGCTTGATTAAAATGAAACTGTTTGTTTTCGAAACTAAATTAACCAGTTTATTGGCTTATTATTTAAATGCCCACATAATTAAATTAGACTACTTAAGTGAGTTTTAGAAATACTTTATGTATGTATTCAGCTGTAGGTAATCTATGAACTAGATGAGTTGATTTAAAGATACCTATTTATTTACCTTTATAAGTAGGTTGATTAATTTAACTACTTATTTTTAGCGTTTAAATCATAATAGGAATTAGCTGAATCCACTGCTATAGTGACAAACAAAGTTTTATCGGAATGAATAAGCTTTGTGGAGTTAAAAACAAACACATGAGGTAATAACGATAACAATTAAAATTTATTAATAGTAATAAATAATTCTCAAAATATATCTCATATAAAATATAGTTAATAATTAATAGTATGGCAAAGAGAATTAAATAGTAGGTACCTAATTGGAAATAGTCCAGCAGTGACACCACACAACACTATCACGCGAATGTCCGGTCGATGTAGTCGCAGTCGAACTCCGCGAAGAACGAGTCGAACGGAGACAGCGAGTCCTCCGCGAACTCCGACGGCGTCTCTTGCTCCAGCTCCGTGGAGAATTCGGAGAGGTCGGAGCACAGCGGCGACGGCCAGCGCTCGGGGCGAGAGCCGTCCGCCTCCGGGCTGGACTCCCGCAGCACCGCCGACAGTGCCGAGATGTAGCGCATGGCTAGCCGCAGCGTCGTGATCTTCGTCAGCTTCTCGCAAGGCACCGGAGTCCCGGTGATGGCCGACGCCGGGACAGCGCGGCGCAGGGTCTCGAAGGCGCGGTTGATTTCGCGCATGCGGCTCCTCTCGCGAGCGTTAGCAGTTTTCCTCCTGTATTTGCTGAGGGGCTGTGGAGTGCGGCGCGCACGCGGCTCGCGGCTGCGCGCTGCGCGCGGTCGCAGCTGGTACTTGTCGTGATCCGGCATGGAGTGACGCCGGCGGCCGCCCCACGCGACCACGCCGCCCGCGCAACGTCGCCTCAAGAAAAATACGCTCACTCCGCCCACTTGCCCCGCTCCGTTCATGTACAGTCGCGCACCGAGCTTTTAACATTGCATTGTATTTAAATAAAACCTACACAATTACGACTAACTCAAATCAAATTATGTACAAGGTGTCAAACGACATAATTTACGATACGAGACATGTTTCATTTGTGGTTGTGAAATAAAAAAATGTTTATGAACTCTTGACTATAGGTAAAAACTATTTAAGTTGCTCTCGAAAATTGATCATTCTTCTATGGTAAAATTCAAAATGCTCACTAATGAATCTGCCTTGGTCAGATTGGATAGTATGATAATACAATGAGTATTTAGTAGAAAAGATCATAAATATATAGGTATTATAAGTACTGTTAAAATAACCTACCATCTTTGTAATGTTTAAAATTAAAGTTCATTCTCATGAGCAAGCTACATAGAGCTAAGGCATCTCCATGATTCTGACAATTGTTTCAGAGAACGCTTCTTCCCAACTAAGGCTGGTATCTACATACCTAATTATGAATGCACCGGGCGTAGCGCAGTAAGACTTGACCGCTCGTCTGTACCTCGGTCACAATGAATGAACAACATCCAGCTATATAACTCATTGGGTAATAGGTAGTAATCGGATTGATACCATTTGCATATTCGATTCGGCATTTCCGTTGTGAAGGCTCTGCGTGGACTAATTGTTTACCGACCTTGCCGAACGAAGTACTCGACTGTTCCTACGTGGGTTATGATCAATTCGTGTGTAGGCCGATCATTGGTGACGCAAAATGTCATTATGTAACGCTACCACTTACTTGCATAGGTTGCAGTTACGCCCTTTGCAATTTTGGGCAGGTACTTAATCGAACAAAATTGTCGTTGTACCTACTTAGTTAAATACGTGTCCATGAGCATAAGTCCATGACTTTTTTTTTATCTACACATTAAAATTACATGATAAGCTAATTTAATCACAAAACATCATTCAATGTTAGGTAGTAAATATTGTTACGTGCCTGACGTCAAATTCCTGACTATGCGGGCTTAGGTTACGGGATTGGATGAAATTAAACACTAATACCGGTTTTCGGACTTTCTATTGTACTTAAGTGACAGCGTCCACGGAGTTTGGTAATCGGCGTTCCTCTCCAGCAGAGTCCGGCCAACTGACACAACTTTGCTGTTCACGCTGACTTAACTCACTGCACTTCACTGTTTCACTGCACTTCACTATTTCACTCACTTTTCTTCTTTTTCACCTCTTCCTTTTCTTCCGAATCGCTTTGGACTTAGAACTCAACTGCCGGCGGTGAGCCGCAGTTCCGCTTATATACCCCCGGTCAGGTTCTGGAACATTCAATTTCGTTATTCTTTTTGATCGTCATGCCTCCAGAACCTTCCAATAATTTCGTTATTCATTTTTATTTATTCTCCTTCTCGCTCTTTAATTTTTCATTTCTTTCACACAAATAATTCCAGAAAGTTCGACATAACTTCCATCAACTAAAAAACTTCATGTTTACGGCGGGACTCGAACTCGGGGTCTCTGTGGTGTAATCCACACGCCTTACCGATTACACCAACTCGTGTTGACAATTCACGACGAAATTTACAATCTCTAGGCAACGTTTGACAACCATCCATTGACATCATGATGTCAAAGAGTTTGAACCACTTTTCCGTCACAATATCATCAGATGACTTCCTGATCTGGTCCTCCGTTCCTTCTTCTGCTTCGAGGTTGATAATGCTACGGTACATTATTGCGCTTGACCCGCAACCTCGGCTAAAGAAGGTAGGTAAACCTATTCGCACAATAGCGTTCAATAATATAACCTTCTTTTATAATTATGTATCTCGGACCTACCCAGAGGGTACCTGTAAGTAATGTCATTGATCTTCGTGACTATCTCGTAAGGACCTTCCCAACTCGGTTGCAGCTTTGGAGATTTTCCCTTCCTTCTGACTGGATTATGAAGCCAGACCAATGACCCCTCTTCAAACCCAACAGAATTGGCTCGTCGATCATAGCGCGTCTTTGCGCGATCACTAGCTTGAAGACCGGCCTCCCTGATCTGCTCATAAATGTCCAACATTTTTGCCCTTAACTCGCTTATGTAATCGCTAAACTCGGTGCGAGAGTCACCAGGTGGACAGCCCGATACAAGATCTGCCGGTAATCTCAATTCCCTTCCAAAATTTGCAAATGCAGGCGTCTTTGCGGTACTTTCATGTACAGCAGTCCGATAGGCAAGCAAGAAGAGAGGTATGTAAGTGTCCCAATCTCTCTGATGGCTGTCAACCACCTTTGCTAAGTGTCGTTCCAATGTTTGGTTGAAACGTTCGACCATTCCATCTGACTGTGGATGATAAGGGGTCGTTCGAGTCTTATGGATTCCCAAAAGTTTACAAGTTTCCTGAAAAACTTGGGACTCAAAGTTCCGTCCTTGATCACTGTGCATCTCCAAGGGCACTCCGAATCGGGTGAATACCTCGTTTACCAACTTCGTGGCTACAGTTACTGCCTCTTGATTCGGTATGGCAAAGACCTCCGGCCATTTTGTAAAATAATCCATAACCACTAAAACGTAGCGATTGCCCGAATCAGTGATTGGAAATGGTCCAGCGATGTCTAAGGCTATTCTCTCCCAAGGCATACCAACATTGTAGATTTTCATCGCCCCTCTGCTTCTTGTTTGTGGACCCTTGACAGCTGCACAACTAGTGCATTTCCGGCACCAATCTTCGACGTCATATTTGCAATGCAACCAATAAAACCTCTCCTTGATCTTCACCAAAGTCCTCCTAATTCCCAAATGTCCTCCAGAAGATCCATCATGGAACGCTTTTAATACATCCCTTATTTTTGAACGAGGCACCACCAATTGCAAATGCTCGTTCTTGCCGTTTGTTGATTCCCATTTCCTGCACAGAAGTCCGTTATGCAGCGTAAGGCTTTTCCACTGTGCCCATAAACCTTTCGTTACCGCGCTATATTGGGCGACGTCACTCCAACTTGGCTTGTTACCACTTCGTAGCCACTCCAGTATTGGTTTAATATCTGCATCTCTTTCCTGTTCTAATTTCATCGCATCATCTCCCCATGCCTCGTCAACAGTATCAGTCCTTATCACCTTAAGAAAAGCAGTTTCCTTCTTCGCACAATGCTTGCAATCTTCCACGCATGGGCGTCTCGATAATGCATCTGCGTTGCCATGAATTCTTCCGCCGCGATGTTCGATTTCAAAGTCAAATTCCTGAAGTTGTTCCAACCATCTGGCTACTTGGCCTTCGGGATCCTTAAACTGAAGCAGCCATTTCAAAGCAGCGTGATCAGTTCTGATCAAAAATTTCCGTCCCAGTAAATACTTCTTGAAATGGTGCAGAGTTTTGACTACAGCCAGCAATTCCCTCCTGGTCACGCAATAATTCCTCTCCGGCTTGGATAGTGACTTGCTGAAGTAAGCAATAACCTTCTCCTGCTCACCATCGCGTTGTGAAAGGACACCTCCTATTCCAATATTGCTGGCATCCGTATCTACTACGAATATTCCTTTCGCGCTGGGGTATCCGAGAATTGGTGTGTTACAAAGCCGTTCTTTTAGTTCTCGAAAAGCTTGCTCACAATCCTCGTCCCAGATAAAGGCACGTTTCTCCTCTGTCAATCGATGCAAAGGCTTGGCAATGTCCGAGAATCCTTTCACAAACCGCCGATAATACGAGCACAATCCAAGAAATGCCCGAACTTGTGTTTTGTCTTTAGGTGTTGGCCATTCCTTAACAGCGACAGTCTTGGCTGGATCAGTCTCAATTCCTCTCTCAGAAATAACATGTCCTAGATAATTCACTTCGCGCTTGAAGAAAGAGCATTTCTTTGGACTCAACTTTAAATTTGCTCCACGCAGCTTGTCGAGTACCTTTTCCAATTTCCTTAGATGATCGTCAAAATCCCGTCCAACAATGATGATGTCATCGAGGTAAACTAGGCAGGTTTCGCCCAGCAGTCCCGCCAGCACCTGTTCCATCAAACGCTCAAAGGTTGCCGGTGCATTGCATAATCCAAACGGCATCACCTTAAATTGCCAGAGTCCCTTCCCAGTTGAGAATGCGGTCTTTTCCTTGTCCTTGGGATCCAAATCCACCTGCCAATAGCCGCTTTTCAGATCGAGCGTTGAAAACCATTTCATGCCACTCAGTGTGTCAAGTGTGTCATCGATTCTTGGTAAAGGGTAGCTATCCTTCTTGGTTACATCATTCAACCGTCGATAGTCTACGCAAAACCTCGTTGAACCATCTTTCTTCTTGACAAGCACGACAGGTGAACACCAAGGGCTAGAAGAGGGCTCTATCACGTCATTTTTCCTCATATCGTCAATCATTTGTTCAACCTCTTTCTCACGAGCGAATGGTATACGTCTGGGCCTTTGACGAATTGCCATTGTATCGCCTGTGTTTATTTTATGCTTCACCAAACCAGTTGGGCCAATATCACCATCGCTTCTTGAAAACACATCAGAGAATCGAAGAAGTAAATTTCTAGCTTTCATAGTCTCCACTTTTGTCAGACTTTTGTTTTCGTCTAAGATTTTCGTAACAAAGTCTATTCCCGTACTGTCCTTCTTCACAAGATTCTCCGAGCATTTTCTTATCCAGGCCACTTCTTCCAATACGCCCACAGGCTCTCCTTCTTCAATCGTAATTTTTGAATCACTGAAGTTTAATACCGGAATGCGGTTGACATCAGATGACCCCACGACAGTTCTTGCCGGTAGCCATGAGTTTACGTGTTCCGATTTATCAATCACAGCGCACCTTCGAGGTAAACTTCCTTCCTTCCTCCTAGGTAATGCGATTGGTACGAGAGTCTGTGATTTTGGTGCAAGAACAGTTCTTCTTAAACAGCAAACTTTTCCCAGGGTTCCACCCTTCATCGGAATTTCCTCAGTTCCACATAGTAAAACTCCAGATTTTAAGTCGATGTTACACTGGTGCCCTTGCAGGAAGTCAAGTCCCAGGATGCAGTCATCCAGAATTTTGGCCACAATAACCTCATGTCGATAAACACGTTCCCCAATTTTGATTGTTACATGCAGTTTTCCACTTATCGGTATGCACTGGCCGGTAGCTGATTTCATTTGTAGGTCAACAATTGGTTTAAGGTGTTTCCTGATGTTTTGCTCGAGCAGCCGAACATTTATTACCGTCCTTGAAGCTCCAGTATCTAATGTTAGCTGACTGATTTTCCCATTTACTTGACCGGCTATCACCAGAGTATTTCCATCGTTGGTTTGCTTGATGTAGATTGTTGGGGTTGTTCCACTACCAGCCAGCGCCCACCCCGCAGCCCTGGCTGGATTTAAATTTCCCTGCTGGTCAGAAGTTGAGACCGCCGCGTCCTGGCGGTTCATCTTCTTCGGGCAGTCGCTCCGTATGTGCCCACGCTCTCCACATCCATAGCACATGAAGTTCCGACGGCGTGGAGGTACCTGCTCCGTTGTCGTCATTTCCCGCAGACGTAAGGTACGGGAGTTGCTACGCACGGCTTCCACTTCCAATGCATGGGCCAGAGCTTCTTTCACGTTCTTGTGATGGCCCAGATGAACAGCAGCTCGTACTTCGGGGTCCCGAATACCGTCAATGAACGCTTGGAGAAGCGTGCCTTCAATCATTGACGGAGTCGACCGGAAAGCTCGACGCACAAGTTTCTCGATTTCCACGGACCATTGCTGTAGGCTCTCATTAGCACACTGAGTACGCTCTTGTAATTGCGCTCTGTACACGTGCTCGAGGTGGCTGTCTCCAAAACGTGCCTCAAGTGCGTCGAAGAGGGCACTAAAACTGAGATCCCCACTTGTACCGATAGCTTCCAGCACTGTGAGCGCTTGATCACGGAGGGCCAAGGTGAGGGCTGACTGTGCTTCCTTCTGAGTCCAACCATAAACCTCCATAAGTGTCTCAAACTGTAGCTTGAACGCGGTCCAGGATGTTGTTCCGTCGTAATGGGGAATCTTGAGCCCTTTCGTTGCGATTGAGGCTGCATTTGGGGCGTCAAAACCGGCTGCAAGACGGCTTCGGCTCTTCAAAGGGCTTGGGCTTGTCACTTCCTGCTTGATTTTGGAGATCTCTTCTTCCACTCTCTCCTCTATCGCCATGACGCGATGTTTCAACTTGCCTAACCCTTCCTCCACTTCTTGTACCCGTTCGACAGCCTTTTGCAGTCCCTTCGTGAAATCCTTATGCATGTCTTCCAAGCGATGCGCTTGCTCCTCTTGGCGGCGAGCTTGATCCTCTTTCAGCTCCCGTAGCTGCTCCGCCTGACAGCGTGCATGCTCCTCTTGGCGACGAGCTTGCTCCTCTTGGCGACGAGCTTGCTCCTCTTGGCGACGAGCTTGATCTTCTTTCAGCTCCCGTAGCTGTTCTTCTTGGCGGCGCGCTTGCTCTACCATCATTTGCTGCAGCTGTAGCAGTAGATCCACCTGCACAGGCTTGGCTTCTGCATCGCTGGTTTGAGCTGCAGCACCCTCTTCCCTCACACGCTGCGCTTCTGACATTGCACGGGTACTCACTCCTCTTACGTCCTGCGGCACTAGCGGCATTTTTCTCCAATCCCACTTCTGACACCAAATGTTACGTGCCTGACGTCAAATTCCTGACTATGCGGGCTTAGGTTACGGGATTGGATGAAATTAAACACTAATACCGGTTTTCGGACTTTCTATTGTACTTAAGTGACAGCGTCCACGGAGTTTGGTAATCGGCGTTCCTCTCCAGCAGAGTCCGGCCAACTGACACAACTTTGCTGTTCACGCTGACTTAACTCACTGCACTTCACTGTTTCACTGCACTTCACTATTTCACTCACTTTTCTTCTTTTTCACCTCTTCCTTTTCTTCCGAATCGCTTTGGACTTAGAACTCAACTGCCGGCGGTGAGCCGCAGTTCCGCTTATATACCCCCGGTCAGGTTCTGGAACATTCAATTTCGTTATTCTTTTTGATCGTCATGCCTCCAGAACCTTCCAATAATTTCGTTATTCATTTTTATTTATTCTCCTTCTCGCTCTTTAATTTTTCATTTCTTTCACACAAATAATTCCAGAAAGTTCGACAAAACTTCCATCAACTAAAAAACTTCATGTTTACGGCGGGACTCGAACTCGGGGTCTCTGTGGTGTAATCCACACGCCTTACCGATTACACCAACTCGTGTTGACAATTCACGACGAAATTTACAATCTCTAGGCAACGTTTGACAACCATCCATTGACGTCATGATGTCAAAGAGTTTGAACCACTTTTCCGTCACAATATCATCAGATGACTTCCTGATCTGGTCCTCCGTTCCTTCTTCTGCTTCGAGGTTGATAATGCTACGGTACATTATTGCGCTTGACCCGCAACCTCGGCTAAAGAAGGTAGGTAAACCTATTCGCACAATAGCGTTCAATAATATAACCTTCTTTTATAATTATGTATCTCGGACCTACCCAGAGGGCACGTCTAAGGCTGAACTTTACGTTCCATAGTCAAACTCACTTATTGATAAAAAAAAGTTGCAATTACCAACGCGGCACTATTATCTGTGACCATTTGTACGTCAAATACTTATTACAACCGTACAGATTACACCAAATAGTAGAGGAAACCTACATTCTTATTGACATAAATTAAATACTTAGGTATAATAGGTACTTCAGAATGAATTTAGTTAAGTCGTCATTAGCAAATGAACTGCAGTGCGAATTGCTGCTATACTTAGATACAAGGCGCTATCTGTATGACATGAGAGGTAACTGCGAAGATTTCTTGGAACAATTAACTGAGAAAACATTGTGTAAGTTCCCGCCATTACGTTTTTTGTTAGAGATTGACGTCATGGACTTGTTGGATGTATCACCTGAGCTAGGGGAATTCTTATTAGAGGAACCGAATCAATTTCAAAGAATGTGTAACGATATTTTATTTGCATGTGTTCAAGCTACCGATATTGAGACAAAAAATAATATAGAGTATGCCCAGGTAGCTGTAATATTAAGATTGAGAAGTGTTCCAATTAATTCTACTTGTAATTCACGTCATTATAAAGGGATAGTGAATATTGATGGGTTACTGCTATCTGTTTCAAAACCGGAAAACTATGTTCTTCATTCAGTTTGGTCTTGTCCCGAAGAGTGCGAGGGAAATGAAGTTATTCTACATTACATTCCAAAACATCCACCCAGATGCCATTTATGCAAAAGTATTCTATTTGAAAATAGTGGACTGAGGCAATGCGGAGAACGAGTAACTGCAAGATTTAAAATTTGTGATCAGCTACTTTCAAAACCGTTAAACATTACTGATGATTTAATACCCAAATTGCACCTTGGTACACGATACATGTTACATGCTGTTGTTACGAAAAAACTAACGATTGTCTGGTCTTTGGAAATAATAATTCCTTTAGCAGCGCCTATAACAAACCCCATTCCTAAAGATATAAAGGACTTATTCAAAGCTTGCAAGGAAACACCTTGGAAGTTTATTTACTGTCTAGCTTCAAGTATAGGCGTCAATGTTTGTCCTCTACATTGCTTTATGCATCTCAAGATTAACCTGTTGTTAAGTCTCACTAGTGTGAAGGCAAATACTTTCACGGGCGCAAGTATATTACACGTTCTGGTTGGAGGTTTTGACACAAGGTATGTTGGAGAAATAATGGTAGATGCAGCGAAACTTGCCGATAGATCTGTGGTTTTGGGAGCGTCTAACTCAGTGCCTCAGACTGCTTTGATAGCAAGTTCTGGAGGAGTTTGTGTCTTGCCTTTACCACTTCATATTTATAGCCACAAGCAGGTGTCAGGTATTCTTGCAGCAATAGAAACAGGTGATATAAATTCAGGGACAGCACTAGCTAAGTTCAATTCGGCAGTGTGGGCGCAAGGAATGGATTTTAAGAAAATGTCACTGTTTAATGTGGCTAGTGTATTTGGGAATGTATGCCGCGGTGATTGTGCCGAGTTTTACGATGAAATTAATGAGTTTGTATTACAAAGAGCAGTGGAACCAGTAGGTGTATGCAAGGAAGAAATAAAAGCCCTGAAAGATGTTGCGACTTATATAGATGTGGTAGCAGGGATTGAAGTCGCTTTAGACGATACGACAAAAAACTTGTTGCAAAATTATTTCCTGGCGGCTCGGAAGGAGAGTACAAAAACCGTTTGCGTCGGGAGCATGAATGCATTGGTAGCCATCTGTCTTACTTCGGCGAGACTGTGCCGTAGACGAGTCACTAATGTTGATGACGCAGTTTTCGCAATTTGGTTACATGTAAGCGGAAGTCCCGAGCCTCGGTGCGCCCCCGAGGAGTACTTACAAACACCTGCAGACGTGAGGAAATTACAAAAAGTCATAACAAGTTTCAAACATTGGTTAGAAGAATTTACTGGTAGTTGTTTGCTTTAGTTGTAGGTACTTTTTTTAGGTGAACAACTGTTCAGTTTATTTGGTAAATAAATTATACTGTTTTTGATAATTTATCATTAAATAAATAAGTAAAAATACTAACGAGTATCAATAATCACATCTGTTATTCCCCGGAGGCTGTGTAATACCTGATGTCAGGATTGCACACATTTCATTAATTACGCCTAATGTTGTAGTAAAAATATTCCATTCACTTCCAATTTTGTCATAAATAAAATAATTATTTCAATCAAGTACCTAGGTACTTATTTCATTCTTCACTTTGAATAAAATATTCATTGGCCTAAAAAAACTTATTATTAAAAACGGAAAAAGAATATGATCTGGACAGAGGTACTGCATAATAAAACAAAATTTCCAAACAATTAAACATTTATTTTTTTATTCATTCAATATATTAAGTTTTTGACTAGAACATAAATAAAATTGTTAATGTAAAAATTCATAAGAAATAGGTTTACTTACAAATAAGTTTAAGTTTTTCAAATATATTAGAATCTCTAAAAGTATTTAGGTACCTAAAGATAACAATTAGTACTTACTTATAGTAAGCATAGATAAATGCATAAAAATATTATGTATATTATTAGCACCAAAAATAAATTCCTTAGAAACTAAATTACTAATTTAACACAGAGAATAAGGCACTGTGTTACATTAAAAATCACAATCTCAACATTTTGTTTCCATTGTATAAGGATGTGTTCTTTTGAAGAAAAAAGTGGGTAGATTGTAAAAAGAATAATAAATACGATAGAAAAGGCGGTTCGATAGGGGATTACGAAAGAAGATATATTGCACCCACACCCAATAACTTCAGATAAATTAATTTAGTCATCATTCAAAAAGCTAAAATCTAACTTTTTAAGCATCTCTTTTTGAGAATTCAACTTCAATGATAAATTCATTTGGCTTTGTCTTATCTTAATACTGTCCTCAATAAGAGATTTCAGTACTTCGTCATCTTCTAATTTATTGGTCATTTTGATGCAGTGATTTGATACTGGTTCTCCAATCTTGAAGTCCTTTTTCTCGAAGGACACCACACTGTATGGTACATTTGAAAACCTATCAGCATCTTTTACTACACCACTAATAGTTGCCCATGTACATTTCGTCAGCTCATCTAGCAAGTTTGTTACATCGGACATCAATTTATTGGTAGACTCTGCTGCATTCAAGACAATTTCATCAATCTTAGAAAATTCTATGCTCACATCCATAAGTTTCAATACAAAGGCTTGTTGACGGACTTCCTGTAATATTTTGTTTCGGAGCTTGAGGCAGTAATAACATATCTCAACTATATCATGGCACTGTACTTCTCTGCCGCGGTTAGCTGATTCACCTTTCTTGTAATTCAGAAATGCTTTATAAGCATTAGCATACACAGCTTGGTAGTTGTGTTTTGTAACAAAGTTGTTGATGTCAGCTGTGATGACTTCATTGCTGCGTCTAGTTGCTGACTGCAGCCTCACAGTCAGTTGGCTCCAAGCTGTTTGTAGTTTTTGTATTCTGCCTGTAATGTCATCTGCATTTTTGAAAATTTTATCGAAGCCCTCAAGTAAGAGAGTTCCATTTGATTCTTTTAACTCGGTTATGTGTGCTTTACCAGAATCAGTCATCTTCTTGAGTATTTCTTGCCTGGCAAGAAGATTACCAATATTTTTATCAACTGAATTGTGTTTCAGTAACAATTGTTTTCCTTCACATTTCAGTGACTCAGCTCTCACAAACAATCCATTGATTAGAGAATCATACAATTCCATCTGAGACATAACAAGATATAAGGCATTCTTATATAAATTTTGGCTGTTTTTATAATTATAATATGCTTTTGGGTGTTCCAAACACCTCTGCACTGCCTTTGGGACGATAGCTTCAACATTATCTTTCATAATATATGTCTTGTTGTAAAGGAACAACATTATATTTTCATTCCAATACTTAACAATACATTCATCATCACCTGGCTCTACATAGTTCATCTGAGTTATTAAAATTTGTTCACTTGTAGGAATTTTGGTATCATTGCATATCTTAGATTTCAGCATTAGGACAGTTGTTGCGTCATCAACTTCATAGGCAAGCTTAGATAAAGTTGCCACAGAGAAAATGTTAACAATTTTCTTTTCTAAAATCTTTTCAAGTACATCAAATATGACAATCTTACTGGCTTCTTCTTTCTGTTCACTTGGTATGTTGAAGGTGACACGCGATGGAGTATCTCTACCTCTCAATTTAGGATCCCATTCTAGTGCAATTCTCAGCCATTGCTCTATTAAGGCTTTAAATGGTTTGGATATATAATTCTCAGGGAATACTTCATTTGAATATTCAATATCCCCATGGAAAGTTTCATATACACATATATTTTCATGGGCCTTCTTTTTAACATGGGGCATCCATTGCACAGGGGCCATGAAGGGCAGGAATGGCCGTTTACCACAGATTAGTTCAAAAGCCACCAAACCAAATGACCAAAAATCAACAGAGTTGCTGTATGTCTTGCTGTACATTATTTCTGGGGCTAAGTACTGCAGAGTGCCTACAAGACTGGCACACACAGAGTTAGAATCTATTTCTTTAGCATAACCAAGGTCTATTAATTTGTATATTACCTTTCTTTGGCTTTGAACAGCGACATTGCTTTGTACTGAATCCAATATGTGCATCACAATGTTTTCAGGCTTGAGATCTCTGTGTGTAATTTTGTTCTGATGTAGAAAATGCATAGCACATCTGAGATCACTAAGTATTTGTCGGATTTGTTGTTCTTTGAGGCCTGCACATGACTCTGGTTTGTTTAGCACCTGACGAAGGTCTCCACCGCTGCAGTACTCCATACATAGAATTGGTAGGCCTGACGGATTCGCGCGCTCAAGACCCTTGATGAACTCTGGGGGCAAGTCTTTTGTTCCCACAATATTTGGATTGCGGCAGCCTTGTAACATTTCCACTTCCTTCGCCCATCGTGCTCTGTGTTTTTCAGAAAGTTCATCGCCCCACTGGCAGGTCTTTATTGCTAGTTTCTCATCAGTTTTTTTGTGTTTCCATAGTACGACAGTACCAAAACTTCCTTTTCCAAGTTCCCTTTCTTTAATCCAATCACCAATAAATACTATATCGTCCATTTTTTATCGTAAAGGCGTGTTAGCGTATTTAGAACACAACTCACAGAAATGACAATAGATATCCCAAAAATAACTTCTTGTTCATCTTACACAAAATTATTGCAAGCACACGAAACTTTGTTTGATAACTAATTTCTTTATAGAGTCAAGAGCCAATTTATCAATACCTCCGAATAAAAAACGTTCAAAGCTTGTAATTACTGTACCTATTAATTGTTACTTAAAGCAGTTCTTATTTAGAAAAATGATGTTTATAATTTGGTAAAGCAGTGAAATCTAGGTAAAATTATATAACGATACACAGCATCTACAGTTCATAATTTCAATAAAGAAAGAAGGGAAATAGCAACTTTAAAAACTTATTCTAGGAAAATAAGGATCGTTCCTTTTCACACAACTTTTAACAAGGATCAAGCGGAGTTGTGCTATGTTGGTAAAATTAGCAAATCCGCAAATAAAAATCTGTTTACAAATTAAATTCAGCTTAAATTGTTCCTAAGTCCATTATGTTCTAATTCATACATGTTATATTATATTATTATTATATTTTCGCTAGAAAACTATGAAAGTACGAAATCGATGAAATGAAGAGATTATTCAATGTCATTACAGTCAATGTCAATTTGCGTCAACTGATAGTGTCAAACAAGGTGTCAAATTGTCCGTCATCATCAACAGAAGTCTGTTTGTTGTTTTTTTATTATTTATTAAATTCACGTAGAATGTTAATACTAATAAATAATATTTAAAACCTATAAGCCATAATGTTCGACATAACTGTTTTATGTCGCGGCTGTATGAAGGACAATGTAAGTTTAGTGAACTTATATGAAACAGTTCAAGTTGAGGAGGACAGCCTTCAATTAGCTGAATTATTAGTGCAGTGTACTCCAGCAGAGGTATGTAGCTATAAAGTATATTTCACAAATTAATGTGTATGAAATGAAATTGATTAAAAATTATGATTTTGTTGATAGGTCTCCAAGGAGGATGGGTTACCACAGAACCTTTGTGATGATTGTGTCAAGGTGTTACAAGTTGCATACACCTTCCGTTCACAGGTGATAAAGTCCCAAGAAGAGTTAAAAAAGATTCTTCAAACAAATATAAAAACAGAACCACTAGATGTTAGTCTTAAGACCGAAGATAATGTACCAGATTATTTTGATACATTTGATGATTTCAATTTTGATCATGATATCTCAAAAACAGAGCTTGAAAGTATAATTTATACATGTAATAAATGCAGTAAACAATTTACTAAACACAATAAATATTTAAAACATTTAGCAGCTCATGAGAATTTATCCTTAGAGTGTAGTATTTGTAGAAAATTATTTGGGAATCAGGCACTTTTAGATAAGCATAAAGCTAAGCACGAGAAAACAATGTGTTTGATTTGTAATAAACAATTTGAGAAGGAAACAAAGTTACTGGAACATATGGTGGAGCACACGGAAGGATTTGATATAAAAGTTGAAGGTGAGGTGCGAGTGAACATGTTACGATGTAATGAATGTAATATAACATTTACAAAAGCAAGATCATTAGCAAGCCATATGAAAAAGCATAAAAACAAGGATAAGCAGACAGAATTTGTATGTGATAATTGTGGTAAAACATTTCTCAAAAAGTGTATATTAAAAAGACACTTGTCTATGCATGAAAAGAAGCACAAATGTGATGAGTGTCCGAAATCATTTGGGAGACGAGATCAGCTGGTGGCTCATACATATAGTCATAAAGATAAGAAGCCGTATGTATGTTCCTACTGTAAGAAAGGTGAGTTTACAACTAGTACCATATAGGTAATAATACCTCATATCTTATTGAAGTTTTAGAAATCTGGAAACATAAAAGCAATCCAAGTATTGGGAATATTAGCTATGGCTTAAAATGAAAAAACAAAGCAATACAAAGTTGAATCAGAGATATGATAAATTATTAAATAAAACATCTACTTGGAACAATCATAGGTTATCTTATACATTATGATACAGAGATGTCTTAATTCAAATATGCTATTCCTATAAAATTGGGTAGTTTCCTAGGTCTAAAATAAATTAATTTGACATTTCAATACAATAAATTATTGAAAAATAACTATATTTTTATTCATTGATCAATACACAACATTATTGATACTCAGGTAGGTAATTTTTTAAAAAATCAGTAACCTATTTGATGCAAAAATTCTATTATGTCATAACTTAGTGTTACTTACAAATTTCATAGAAAACTATCGTTTTTGACATTGGATAAAAGTATTGAATTTGATTAGTTGAAAGCTACCATATTAAAACCTAACTATCACAACAACTAGTAAAAAAAAAATAAGGTGTCTGCACATGCAGTAGTTCTTTAATAGTTTAACAGATTTTGAAATGTTACTTTCCAGGTTTCTCCCAAATGTGCAACCTTAAGGACCATGTCCGCACCCATACGAAGGAGACTCCGTACTTGTGTTCAGAGTGTGGGAAAGGCTTCGCTAACAACTCCAATCTCCGCCAGCATATGATGAGACATACTGGAATTAAACCGTTTGCCTGTAACCAGTGTCCTAAAACATTTTGTACTAAAGGTAAGGGAATTTGTGTCTCTCTGCACAAGCTAGCGTTGTACATTTTATTTGAGTTCTTTGACACATTGAGGTCACTGAACTTATGAACTAGTTTTTTTTATGTACCTAATAGGATGGCAAACGGGCAGATGGATTACCTGATGGTAAGCAATCAGAGCCGCCCATGGACACCTGCAACGGAGGAGTAACGAGTACGTTGCCGACCTTTTAGGGATTAGGGATATGGAGATAAAGGAGAGCAAAAGGATTAGACAACATCACTTACACGGCGAAACACAACGCTGTGGTTGTTTCACGCCGGTTTTTTGTGAGACCGTGGTATCGCTCCGTTCGAGTCGACCCATTCGTGTCGAAGTATGGCTCTCCTACACTTAAAAAGTTTTAAATATTATAATGTAATTTTATATTATTAAGGGTTGATTTTTCAATGGTTAGATGAAAGTTACCTGGGGAATAATTATGATGCAGTTGCGTCAGAATGTTTGTATAAGACAGTGACAGCAACAATTTTATTCCTCTGTTAACATTTACCTGACTATTGAAAAATTAGGCCTTAGTGAAATTAGGCCTTATAAAGACGCTGCTTAGATCGGTTGGCCTGACGATTATTCGAGTTTCTTGGACTGTCATCCCAAATCGCTCGCCGATCTACCTGACATCTGATAACTCTGCTGAACGTGATTTAAACTCCATAAATCAAAGGTTAAAACAACAGCGCTAGTCTCATGTACCTACATATAAGCAAATTCGAAACCTAGTAATCCAAGTGCCTTGAATGCACGGTTGGCGCGGTGACTGGTGGCTGGCTGTTGTGCAACGTGTCGCGGGTTTCCCGCACGGAACAACTCTTTGTGTGGTCCACAATGTTGCACAGGTTCGAGCATTAATCACCGCACTTACTCAAGGCAGATTGGCCGGATCGTTTTTCACATTTCAATAAAAGTATTGAATTTGACTAGTTGAAAACTAGCGAATTGAACTCAGTGAACGTTTTGTACTGTTGCAGGTCAGATGACGTCGCATTTGACGACGCACACGGACGCGCACCCATACAAGTGCGCCGAGTGTGGCGCCACCTTTACCAAACAGAACTCGCTGAAGAAACATTCCCTTATACATCTCGCTGTACGACCGTTTGCCTGCGAAACTTGTAATATGAGGTAATTATAATAATACAATTTTTGTATTGTTAAATTTTTTAATCTAAGTGTATTAATATTTATACAAAATAAAGTGTGGGAGAGCCATGCTTCGGCACGAATGGGTCAGCTCGACCGGAGTGATACCACGGCCTCTCAGAAAACTGGCGTGAAACAACCACAGCGTTGTGTTTCCACTTATAGGCTGATGATAATGATGATGATGTAATACACACAACATTCTATACCAGTCAAACCCAACTTAAAATAATACCCACACAGACAGACACAGGAGAAAATCTAAGGGCAACGGCGTTTTTCCAACTTGGTATATGTTTAAAAAAAGATCTTATGTAGTCCTTAAATGCTGCCATTTGTTTTTCCTAGGTTTACATGCAAAGACCACTTGAAGCGTCACAACAGGATACACACGGGCGAGAAGCCTTACAAGTGTAACTACTGCGAGCGAGCCTTCTCCCAGAGCAACGACCTGGTCAAGCATACTCGCCAACATGTTGGACAGAATATTTACCAGTGAGTACCTAACAGTAGCCTCGTATCCAATTATCATTAGTCTATAAATAAACTAACTAATGTCGTGGTGGCCCGGAGGTTAAGGAGCCCGCTTCTCATGCATGAGGGTGTGTATGTTTCATTTAATTTAATATTCTCAATTTCAGATGCACAATATGCAGCGCAAGGTTCCGTCTAGTATCTGAACTGAAACACCACTACCCAGTCCACTTCGCGAACGGTAAGAGTGAGGGGGAACAAAATAACCCCAAAAGTGACCCCAAAGACCCCACAACGACCCCAGCCGACGACAAATTCTCCAAAGAACTAAGCTTGCTAGAAATGAAAACACAAACAGATTACAACGGACTTATGAACTTTAAGGATGAAAAAGAATTGCCACAATTAAAACCACAAGAGCTTCCGATTTTAACTCTTAAACCACCTGAGAATAAGGACGATAATAACGTAATAGATTCAAATAAAATCGTAATTACTATAAACGAAGATACGAACGGTATTGTCAACGGAATCACAATTAAGCTGCCCAAAGAAAGCTGAGTTAAAAGGTTTGTGATTTAGAATCTTAGTGCAACGTTATAAAGTTCATTTTCTCACTGTCATTTTTTATTGAAGATGTTTTTATTAAATGTAGTTGATAAAGCATCTTATACTGTGAGTGAATAGAGTTCACTTTGGCTTGGTTAAGAACATCATTCTGTACATTTTATTTTAGTTGTTTAGTAAGTTTTTGTACAAAATAGATACACATAATATATGTAATGTTTTGCTAATATAGGAAAAATCGCAATTATTTTGATTGTATCTACTTTCTATGTAGAGTTTGTTCCTGAAATTCACAAAAATGTTTTATTTATTTGTTAATACTTCACGCCCATGCTAGTGTACAGATACAAGATGGATTTTCAACTTTAATCTCACTAATAAATAAGCTTGAAATTCTAATAAAAATAACAAAAAGAGTACTATTTAGGTTGACCTGCTAGATACTAAACATTGGTGATCTTAATGCCTTAGGTATTTTCTAACTATTTATTATTTGGGAGATGCTATTAGAGTATAGTAAGGCCGCCGTGTCTTGGTGAGTCTGAAGTTAGCCGTTTGTCTGCGCAATGGATTTTTTAGGAACAAAATTGGGTAGTTTCCTAGGTCAAAAATAAATTACTTTTTTTATACGATAAAATATTGAAAAATAACTATACTTTTACTCGTCGATCGATCGATACACTAAGTTTTAGATATTTTTTAGCTATTTTTTAAAATATAAGTAAGCTATTTGACGCAAAAATGCTATGACGTCATAATTCAATGTTTCATACAATTTTCATAGAAAAGTATCGTTTTTGACATTTGGATAAAAGTATTGAATTTGACTAGTTGGAAACCACCGTATTGTGTACTGCGCAGCTAATCGGCTAACTTCAGTCTCGCCAAGATACGTCGGCTGTATTGTAAGTTAGGCCTACTATTTGGTAGGCTCATAAAAAAAACCTCAATAATATACCCCAGGCTCGGCCGCGGGCGTGCCAAAGGATGGGGTGGCTTTTAGTCAGTAAGAGTCTGACGGAGAGCGGAAGGGTTCCCGCGCCTTACTCACCTAGGGCAGGAGACGTCATGTGATGTTAGTTCATCTTCAAAATAATCAAAACTAGTAAAAATCACATATTTAAATTAAGACTGCTTCTTATCAGACCACTTATAATTCTACATTTATGTATAAGTTTTATAATCTGACAATAGGATTTTTATTGTATATTCTTATATCAATTTATTTGTGTTTTTCTTTTGTTCAGATTTTACCTTATGACTAATCTGTAATCTCATACTAAAGGCTGTAAATTAATGAGAGGCTAAATTTATTTTAACAAAATAAGTTATTTTATATTTCGAACTGAATGTTATCAACGAACACGTTTTAAATTGGCGGTAATAATCAATTTAATTTTAATTTTTAGTTTGCTAATTCATTCTGATTTGTCTATGGCTGAAGAAGAAAGGAGGTTTGTTATACCTTCCCACGCTTAGAAAGTTGGTGGATGATCGCAATTTTAGGACGAGCTAGGGTCCAAATATGCCTGATGTCTATAAGTCTAGTATTTTAGTACCATCGTACTACCACTGTATTAGCGAATTACGCATGCACAATAAAATAACCTATATTCCTTCACGTTTTCCATTATTTTTACTAAAATAGAGGCCCCAATAAAATATTTAAGTAAATAAATAAATATGTACAAATATAATGTATTTAATTAATAATATAAGTGATAATAAATATTTAAGTTTTAGGATTAATGTTAATGTTTGTCAACTAATTACTGTATAAAGTTTTATATACATGAAAAAATATTAATTTTTAAATTAAAAAGTGAAATAATAATGATAGCTCTCTATACACGTATCTAATATAGGATCTACCGAATAGTGCCTTGATCGCTTCTATGTAGGCTAAGACTTAAATCAATACTCAATATCAACATGAAAATATTCTCAAAGCATCTATGGTTGAGGAAGTTCCTTCAAGGTAGCCCAAGAAATTTACCATAGTGAGACATACTAAGGGCAAATTTTTCAATAGTCAGATAAATGTTATCTAAAGAATACAATTGTTGCTGTCACTGTCTTATACAAACATTCTGACGCGACAGCATCATATTTATTCCCCTGGTAACTTTTATCTAACCATTGAAGAATTAGGCCAAAGGTTATTAAAAATAACGACTGCCCGGTTTCCGAAAGCCCGATCAATGTTAAAATCAACTAACTAGGTGTCAAATCTCTTGTCAAGTCATCTGATTGGTTGTTGATAATTCAGTCAACCAATCAGATTTTAACATTGATCGGTTTTTCGGAAACCGGGTGTAAGAGTCTGTCCCACTCTCTCGCCATACCCTTTGCAAGAAAAATTCTTTTAATGGTTTTCACTTAAAAAAAGTTTGTTTTATCGTCATACTATCCGATTTCGAACCGCAAATTGGAAAAGATACATCAAATGTATATTTCGCGCGTTACTTTGAAGTATTTACCTCAATACTAAATCCTTTTTTCTATTTAGATGAACAACTCATTTATTTATGTTTTAAATACAATTTAACATTATTTATCAACAATAATATTCTGTTTATTGTTAATTAGTGCTAGACCAAAGGTAGAATTATAGGTAATTAGATACTTTAATGATGTCCCTTATTTGACAATTATTTCTTAAAAATCACTAGTTTTCGATCTGCCGTTGCAAGTTCGAACTTAATCGAATAGATAATGTAAAAAAATATCTTTTTATTGAGCCACCATTTTAGATGGCAACAAAAAAAAAATTATTGAATATTTTTTTTCTTAATTTGAATTACCCTGCTCGGGTAATGTAAGTATGTGAGTATGTACCCATTTGCTCTTAATATGTATTGCTTTATTTATTCTTCGAACAAAACATATGTTTTATTACCTATCTTCCAATTAATTATACAATTTAATTACTAATTAGTTTGTTATAATAACACGGTAGTTGATTATGTCTGCATTTAGTTTTAGTAGTGCAAATTATTGTTATTGTAGATTAATTTATTATTAAGCAAGTGTTACAACTACTGTGAGACATCAGACGGGGCCCAATAGTTCTGAGTTTCAAACGGGCTTGTGGTTCAAGAGCCATAATGAACCTCGACCTCAGCAAGGAGTCTGAAAGGGTTGGTCTGACACTCCGTTTCATATAATGATTTTCCACCTTTAAATGAAAGAACAACTATCATGAGACATATAAAAGTTATCAATAAAGTAAATTAATAATGTTAGCAAAAAATAAACCAATTAACAATCGGTATATTCAGGTGAATATTTATCGAAGGAACTCGACTAATTTCAAGCCTTGCTAGAACTCATATTCAGGAACAGTACATATAGCGCGACAAATGACGCGGGGACGTCACGCACTTGTCTTCTCGTGAATATGAGCCTTTAGCGTGGCTTGAAATTGTCAGCTCCTTCGTCAAACAATGACGAGAGTAAGCCAGGAAACATAATATTTTATTATGAATGTAAATGAAAACTAACAATAATGTGGTAAAAAATGTCCTAGTAAGTTCTCACTACTTCAAATCGAATTTTATGTTCCTTACCCGCTACATGAAGTTTTTAGTTTTTAAAGTAGCAAATTATTATCTGTGGAGTTTATTTTAAAGAAAATTTACGCAATTTTTAGCTTTAATATTAAATATTTGATATTAAAGCTAAAAATTGCGCCAAGCTATGTTAGAAAGACTTTAATAGAACTTAAATGAACATACCTCACGATTCTCACATTTGCGTATTTATTTATGTTTTAACCTAAAATGGCCCTTTCGAATATCCCGCCAAAATTGAGAGACGCGAAAATGATTGCTAAACGAAATGAAATGTTTTTGATATTTTAATTCGAATACTTAAATATTAGTAATGATATATTGTTATATTAGTTTTGTAATTAGGTACAAATATTATTATTTGTATTAATTAATTTATATTGTTCTGCGTATCGTAGGAAAATGCCTTAAACACGTCGATATTTTAATGAAAAAATAAAGTAATTTATCAAATGAAAATGATTTTTATTTCTATTTTTATACATACCTGTAATCAGTACACGTTTTTTGAAAATTTGCGCTTAACGATTAATTTTTATATCATAGATTATGTTTTTTTATAGGTAGGTACGCTATGTTTAAACCTATTCCTTTGATTGGCAGTGTTATTTTATGAAACTTGCACTTTTCATTAAACTACATATATTACCAATATGCATTTCTCTGTATATTTTTTTATGTAATAGACCGCCAAAAGACCAGATGGATTACCTAATGGTAAGCAATCAGCGCCGCCCATGGATACCAGTTAAAGAGGAGTTACGAGTGCGTTGCCGACTTTTTGGGAATTCGGGAATTTGGAGATTTAGGGATTGGGGGTAGGGAAGGATTGGGCCTCCGGTAACCTCACTCACACGGCGAAACACAACGCTGTGGTTGTTTCACGCCGGTTTTCTGTGAGGCCGTGGTATCACTCCGGTTGAGCCGACCCATTCGTGCCGAAGCATGGCTCTCCCACACTTAAGCTTTTCTACTTGTAAGTAGATTTGCTAAGGGCAGTTTATACTAGCCCATGGTCGAATCCCATCAAATTCTCTATCCGTCCTTCTCTTATTGAGCGCGTCTGTACATTGCTATTAGGTGCACGCGCATTCTCGCCGCTAGTATCCGCTTGCAGAGGCGGGATGCGGATTGGCGATTTCAAACTTATAATTAGAAATTTATCTAAGTCCAAGTTTCCTTACAATATTTTCGTTCACCGTTTGTCAATGTTTTCTAAATAATTATAGAAAGTTACCGTATTGGTACTTGCCAGGGCAGATGGATGAGAAGCGAGCGCCTTAGCGGACCACCCCAACATGTGACGAAAAGAGACTAGCTAAAGGTGTACTACCTACCAACCTTGATTATTCAAGAGATAAGATATTCTCATAAGCAGTACCTATGTGTCAAAATTCGACCCTGTATAAGGAAATCTATTAAAAGGAAATCTTTGGATATGTAATAAGGTTTTTGAAAATAACAATGAATTAGGCTCGTCCAATAAAGTATCTAGAACTCCGATTGAATATAAAATGAGCATAGTGGCTAAGTGTCATTGTTAGTGGCGACTGA